TGCTGTCTTTGACTTCATTACATATTCATTCCTATCAGGGGTAGTGACACTACAGGTGTATATTTTCTTAAATAGGAGAAAGAAGATAGTAATTGAAGTCAGCAATATCACAACTTGGAACAGCCTTCATTAAATGTGCTAACTCATTAACATGCGGATCACAAACAAACCAGGGGTTATAATTAGAGTTTTAGTTGTAAAAAATGTCTTGACTGTAGAAATCCATTATCAACTATTCCAAGTTAATTATAGGTTAGGACATAGCAACAGAAACTGGAAGAACCATAAAAAATGAGCTGGGAAATTGTAGAGATTATGGGTATAGCATGCTTAGGCTTACTGTGTGAAATTGACCATTTGGTTTCCACTTACCTAAATCTCTAAAGTCTGTGCAATATGCATTTAGTGTATAAAACAGTGTATATGTGTGGGTGTATGTACACATACCTAGTATTATGTTATGGAAATGGTCTTTAATTGAACAGAAAAAAATCAATTGGGCTTACAGGAGTCTGACAAATCGTTTGTTCAGATGAATCACAGCCACAGCTCAAGACCAGAGATACATTTAGAGATATAAAACTAAAGTACAGTTTATCTCAGCATTGAGCTGATAAAGGCACTTGGCTCCAGGATGATCGCCCTGGTGACTTTTTGAAGTTGATTTCCCTAGCCCTGGGGGAAACTGATAACCAGGAAACACTGAGAAAGCTAAGTAGCTGACCAGGAAAGGCTGAGAAAGCTAAGTAGCTCTAAAGGCTCACATAAAAATGAAAAAGAATTGTGGAGGTTTAAGAGATTATGGCTCAAAAGAGTGACAAATTTGACATGGTAAAATATAAGAAGTCTCTAGAAATTATTTCCATCAGGCTCAGGTATGTAAGTTTTAAGCGATTGTGGGTTGTAAACTTTCTGAGGGAAGACAGTCCTTTCCAAGCAAAGTCTGCAGTGTGCTATACATAGCACAAGTATTAGGAGAACCTAGGGAAAACAAAAGACAATGGGAGTACCTTAGACTTCTAACTTGGGAAGGTTTGGTTGAATCACATTGCAAAAGAAAATGTTTTCTTAAATGAGCAGTAATCACAAGGGAGAAACAGAGCAGTAAAGGAAGATGGCAGACTCTGGATAATCGAAACAGACTAGTGATTTTGTAGGGATGTATATACAGAAGCCTTAGCAAGCCTAGGGATGGGTTCAATATGTGAGGATGTCTTCAGAGGTACAGAAGGAGCTAATGTGGACCTCCATGACCACTGGCCATCAGGTGGCTTCAGCCTCTCTCATCTCCAAGATAAACAAGTTACATATCACTGTTTTCTAATTGTTAATTATGTAGCTGTCTCTGTTGATTATGTTCAGAAACAAGCTACCGACTCTGCATCAAATGACTGTCTAAATGTAGAAGTCCATCTCTTGTACAGAGCTTGCCATCACTGGGAACCCTGTCAACACCATGACCTCAAACTGGTTGGCTAATATAGGAAGAGTGTCCCCGTTAAGCACAAGCTGCTTATTATGTCATAAAGCAGTGTTCCAGGCAAACTTTCTCAGAATAAAAATTGTTCACATATCTCTCGAGAAAGACGCCTAAAATTCTGCATAAAATGCATCATTCAGGTGTCTCTGAGTAGTGTTTTATGTACCCATACACATGCAGGTGCATGTTTCCTGTACTTACGTATGTGTACGAATGGAGGTCAGATATTTGACAGTGGGTATTCAGTTGCTCCTTTCAGACAACTGTATCCTTGAACCTGAAGCTCATCAATTTGCTTAGGCTGTACAAAAACATTCAAGATTTCTGCTGCTCCCATTCTTCCCCCCCCCAACTTTACGGTTAATGGGACCCCTTTGCCACTCCCTGTATTCTACATTGATTCTAAATATCCAAACTCAAGTGTTCATGCTTGCACTGCAAGCCCTTTGATAAAAAGACATCTCCCTGATGTTGTTTTATTTAGCTATTTTTATGCTTATTTATAAATAATTTTGAGATTATAATTACATCATTTTCTCCATCCCTTTCCTACATGCAAATGCTATCATGAGCCCACCTCCCATTTCTGTCTTTCAAAGTACATGAATTCTTTTTCTAAATTCTTGTTAGTGTGTGTGTGTGTGTGTGTGTGTGTGTGTGTTCCTAAATGTAACACACATGGTCTGTTTATTGATACTTGTATGTATGTTCTCAAAACTTACCATTTGGCATTGATTAATCATTTGGTGTAATCTTCCCTTGGGAAGATGTCTCTCCCACCTTCAGCAACCCTTAGTTGCCTATAGTTTTTGTGTAGAGTTGAGCTCTCTTAAGCTTTCTCCTGCCCTCTTCTGTTGCTGTCAGCTTGTCCACTGATGCTTGTGGGTTCAGGTCATGTTTAAGCAGTCATGTTGATGAAACATTAGGATGTAGCTTATGACATTTTTAGACATTTAGAGAAAAAAATCTCACAGCAAATTCCCAGTTCCTCTAGCTCTTACAAACTTTCTGCTCCTTCTTCTACAAGGATCCCTGAGCTTTACTTGTAGGAGTTGTGAGATTCATAGTTATTTTTCATTATGTTAATATATTTGAATCAGCCATTCTGAAAGGTCTTCTGCTACCCTTTCAGTTTATCAGTCTTGTTACTCACAGTATAACTCAAACAATTTGTGGGTCATTTGTTTCTCTGTGAGGTCTGTTATTTTTGTTTAGAAATAGCTGAGAAGAAAGAGAGAGGGGAAGAGGGAAGGAGGTGAAGTGTGAGGGAACTGAGAAGAAAAGAAGGAGGGGGCACCTTTGGGATGTAAAGTAAATAAAGTAATATAAAATAAAAAAATAGTTGAGGCACCGTGAAGCCCTGTCTATTTGGGAAGGTTCCCAGGCACTGAGTGAAGACCGCTGGGCACCTGTGACTTCCTGCTGAAACAGACCCCTTAATACTATCTCTATTGCTCAAATAAACTCCTCTAAAGGGAAAGGAAAAGTGTATTTTAAAATAACAATTACAGGCCATATTTATCAACATTGAAATCTTTCCAGAAAAAGTTGTACAGCTTTTTAATAATAAGGAATATTACCAAAGATAATGGTTTTCAGTCATTTGACATTGGTTGACACATGTTCTTGTATTTTTTCTTTGGTATTTATTATATACCTAAACATAATTCTCACTTTGAAAATGAATATTCATGTGATATGCTTACAATGAGTTAATTAAACTGGAATACATTTATAAGCAGTTCACTAAGTTCCACTTGCTAGGAAATCACTCGGGGGAATAAGCATCACATTTCCTTTTACGATCAGGCAGCTTGAACACATTTTAACACTTTTTCAAAGATTATTCTTTGTGTTTTACAATTTAAAAAGGAAGTAATTGATTTAAATATTATGCAAAGAATATATAATTTATGGACTTCTTCATTAAAGTGGGTCTGAAATGATTCTGTCACACAGACGCTGAGATAATGGGAGAAAAACAAGCCTCATAGTGACAAAGTCTTCTAAACTTCCACTGCTCCCCCTAGCGAAAGGAAAAATTCACACATGCTTCAGGCTTGCAACTCAATCATCATTTACAGAAAACTATTCCAGGTAAGTTGAATTCAGTTTATTTGTTTCATAGAAACAACAAAACAAAATTAATTAGAAATAAAACTATTTTTAAAAATTGAGTTATATGAATATCTTTATTGTTTGAGGTAATTATTCAATGTTAGTAATTAATAATAATTTTAAGTTTGCTGCACAGATTGAAAACTCAATCTCTTACCAAATATTGGATATATATAAACCAACTGTCTGTAGCACTAATCTGGAATTTTATCTTAGTTATTATTATTATGTGATTAGTGTTTTCTTTAATTAAACAAATCTCAAAACCTTTAGTTTCAAATATTCATATTCTTAACAGCAGTTTATAACTCTTCTTGTTTTATCAAATACCCAGTACAGGAATAAAGCTACTCCCCAAAAGATATTTGGGCAATTTCCTTCCAAGAACCAAGAGAAAGAAAGAATAACATCATAACTAACAAATTACCTGAAGATTCTCTCTTAGAAATGTGACTTTGCTAGATGGTGGTTATATGGATTTTTTTTTTTTTTGTCTGAAAGTAGAGTCTCTTTTTTACTACAAAAAGAGAATTAAAGTGAGGGGAAAGGTTGGTAAAATGAAGAGAAGCAGTGAATAAGGGGATTGTGAAATAAAGAAGAAAGGGAGATACAGTATCAGTAACAAATCAAGCAAGAGCTAAACAATATAGTAAATATATATATATATAATAGATTAGAAAGGCATCGTTAATACGGCATATAACATATTTATATCTTCATTTAGTAAACATTCTTTAAGACATCCCATTAAGCGAGCCTATGTAATTTGCTCTCTCTGCTCAGTTACATAAAATAAACTTTCAACACAGTAGGATATAATGCTATTCATTATAGCTGATTTTCATCCTTTGTGCTAATTTTTTTCTTTTCTTTGGACTGTTTTGTTATCTCATCATTACATCCAGCATCATTACATCCAGTTTTTGTCTATTTCCCTTTCTGTTTTGCTACATGCTATGTAAATTCTCTGTGAGGTTTAGAAACAGCAAAACATGCACTCAGAAATTTGTGTTACCAGTCTTTCAGTCTTCCATATGTTAGGACTCAGTGATTTTTTTTGCCCTAGAGATTTTTTGTTTAAATATTAGGAATTTAAAAAAAATCATGTTTCCAGAAATCAAAATGACAAATTCCTGGAGCAGGGGAATGAGAGAAAATTAAGAAAGGCAGGCACCAGGGGTACTTCTACTCTGCTGTATATGGCAGTGCTTTTGAACAACTCTTTCTGTGAGTCAGAAATCCTGAGCAACAGCTGCAATTAGAGAAGAGCGTCACTTTCCATCAAGGTTCACGGGTGTTGGATGAGATGAGGGACAAAGGGAAAGGAGGGGGCAGTGAGGAGAAACAGGGAGGTTTGGAGATGAAGGCAGTGTGCTTCCTGTACAGTCATGACATCATCCTCCTGCTCATATATATATTGGGAATGGCCAGAGCATCTCTCATAGTTCACTCCCTTTCAAAGCCAGCTAAAGGCTAGAGCCAGCACCGGGAAGCACCCTCAGTGTCTTCCTGGCTGTGTGGACCTGCTATCGGAAGCTGAGAGATGATCATAGGGATGAACCTCCAGCTGGTGTGCCTGACACTTCTGGCTTTTAGCTCCTGGAGTCTGTGCTCAGGTAAGCTCAACTTCGGCTCACAACTCCCTGAAGTGATTTCTCTCGCAGTCTGCTGCTCCTCAGGTTAATGAAGCCAAAAGGAGTGTCTCTCTCTCTCTCTCTCTCTCTTTCTCTCTCTCTTACTCTCTCAGTGAAAGAAACAGTGACTATCATGTTTCTCTCCTTTCTGATTATAAGAACTGAAATGTCTATTTTCCTTTTTAAAAAAATCTGTAAAGCAGTAAATGGGGTTTCAAAGAAATACAACATATTCTACTTTGGAATATTACCACTAAAGAGAGGATAAATAAGAGTAATAAGACAAGCATGACAATCTGAATTGGGCTGGTCATTGTTAAGGAGAATAGAGGCAGTGCTTGTCAGCATGCAGAAATTAAGGATCCCATTCACAATCTTTTACTCTTATCTTTCCTTATTCTCTTAGGGATGTGACTTCTCTCATTCACTTACCTTAGTCATTGTCCTATACATGGGTTAGAACATGTGAAATAAATATCAATAAATAAATGAGTGAGCATTGTTTACAGAATATTTTTCTGATGCAACACAAAATGTCCTGAGGTTTTTTGTGAAAGCACATTTTGTAGTCTTTCATTGTGACAGTCGTGATATTATATTAACATAGCTGTCACTTTTCTGAATGCAATTTAAGTTAGCATAAGCAATAGACATGAGTTTGGCACACTTACATAGATGATCAATTTAGCTTTAGAGTGTTTTGTATATAGCAGTTAAGGAGAAGAATTGTAGTATTATCAGATATGTATTAACTCTCCCTGAAAGCAAAATAAATTTAAAAGAGTAATGTGAACTATTTTGATGATTGAAGTGTATTTTAATTAATAATTGGAAAATAATTGAAGAAAAACTTCAAAATGGAAAATCTTAGGGCTAAATGAAGTAAAGTCACTTAACTTATACTTGTAGAAATTGTAGTTAATAACTAGGACTATGAAGTATTAGTACAAACTCTTGCTCAGCTTACTAAGTGCAAAGATAACTATAAGAATGGAATGTGATTTATTTAGAATGATTTAGTTATTTTATTAACATAAGACATTGTAAATATTTTATGAGACATTACAGTTTTCTGTAAGTATATTTTTATCAGGTAATTGCAGGAATTAGTTATAATCTGAGATTCTAAAAATAGGTATTGTTTAAAACCTGTATATTAACTCTTGAACATTTTCGGTGACAAGTGCAGATTTTTATCAGTGATTAATAAAACCATTCATTTTGAAATACAAACAATTAAACATATATCTGTAACAAACCAAGCAAAGGTGTCTCCAGAATACCTTAGTTCTTCCCTGCACTTTTTCAGTTGTTAGCGTCAGGTGGGATCCAGTGTTTTAATATAACCTCTGCTTTCTTTTATCACACGAAGCCAGTGGATATTCAAATGCTCCAAACCTGTTTTAGTATTTTTAAATTTTGCTTCTCTATACAATACTCACAAATGGAGTGTGGGAAAATATGTTCCCAAGTGAAATCAGGGATCTGTTTTCAATACTACTTACCATGTGTTGATGAGGAGCTCTGATTTTGCTTAAACTGTTTCCTCACTTGCTTATGATAAAATTGAAAGCACACAGTTCAAACTTCTTGTTTAAAACAGAAACTGATTCTTTCAAAGAGTATTTTATAAAATGACATTTGTAGTGAAGTGAATCTCAGTATAGTTTCTATTCTAAAATTACCACTGAGTATCCACATGGCTTTGTCATAAAATAAAAATACAATTGTATTCATATTTTATTATGTTTTTATTAGGTATGTATTTTCTGTACATGTGAACTATTGCTCATGTGAATGACCTAGTGTTGGGTATGTGATGATATAATATAATTAAATGTTATACTGAGATTCAGTGATGAAACAATCCTAAATCATGAATACTTTTCTTAGCAAATTATCGTGTGCTTATTTTCTTAGGAGAGATTCTGTTATTGTAGCTGACAACATAAAATTAAACTGTGATAAGTTTCTTTCTGAATACTGCTTTGAAGGAATTCCATGTAGAAGCTTATTACAATAAGCTTCAAAGACTAAATTTTATAAATTTAAAATATGTTGGTTACCATATAATTACATGATATGTGGTTACATAGTGAACATTTGGTTTTTATTTTATTCAGACTCAGAAGAGGATGTGAGAGCATTGGAGGCAGGTTTATTGACAAATATGCATGCATCAAAGGTAACTTTTTTCTTTCTTTCCTTTAATACAGGGTTGAAGGAGGTAAAAATATTCACTCTAAACATTATATTATTTCCTTATGCAAATCAGTATAGATATAGTTACCTACCTCAAAACTGGAAAGGTCTTTAGGAGACATTTCTTTTTTGAGAATTTCTTTTTTCTTCTGGGGATTTGCAGCTGTTTATATGAAAAGGAAAATGTCTATAAGACTGTCAATTGCTATATTTCAATTGTAATTAAAAAGCCACAGATAATGTCCTGTACATACTTAAAGTAATTTGTTTTCATCATTGTTACACTGTCACAATGAAAGGCATATTGGCCTGAGGTTACAGAAATAAGTGAAACCTAATTGAAGATTTTACATATTTTTGTTTGTTGTAGAAAATAACATAGATTTCCTAAAACACGACATCATTGCAACATGGGGAGGGAACACAGTATAGAATAATGCTTTAATCAGGTAAACCTTGATATACATACCTAAAGCTTTGACTTCTGGTCAATTTAATCTTGGGCAACTGGTTAGTAAAAGTCTGACCTTGGCTTTCTAATCTTTGAGTGCAACAACTAGAGTGTAGAGTCTAGAAATTTATGACTCTCTGATAGCTTATAAAAACTCCATTACCTATGGAGGAGTTTAAATTCTTACTCTTTCAAAAGTGTTAGCATAGATATTTAATATTTATTGAATGAGCCCAGTGAAATTCTGTATTCTGAGCAAAATTCTGAAACCACACAAGTACCTTTTCTAGTTACCAAGTTTCGCCTAGGAACAAAACTGTTAGAATATATCACATTACCATGCTATCATATTGAATTAATTGATTCAGACTTAGTCAAGTACTGTGTATTAAAATTGATGGTTAGAATACAGTTATCTGATGAAAATATAGGGACTTCTTTTGAGGTGAACTTACCTCTTGCATTTAGAATTGAACAATGTTGCAGAGAAGATGGGACTTGACATGTGTGATAAAAAGCAATCAAGATATTGACCTCAATTCTTAAACAATATTATAAATTAGTTCTTCTAAACATAGCTCTTCCATAATCAAATAAACACAGTCTAGGCACAAATATCTCTACCAAAAAGGAGTAAAAATGAAAAAAAAATATATTTATTGTTTAAGTGTGTATTTGAGAGCACATAATATTGTTCCCTTACAACTAATGAAGATGTATGTTCTGCTATGGTCCTTAACAGGCAGTTTGATAAAATCTAAGATCACCTAGAATTCAGTGATGGCCAATATCTACTAAAATTTACCAAAATAATGTTTAATTATTGAAGAGAAACAGATTATTATTTTGTAAATTGAATAACAGAAATATCCTTTTTATAAGTTTGCTTTATAAACTTAGTCAATATTAACAAGAAATTTATTCATGCAATTATAACAAGTGGTTTCATTAATACTTATTCAGATATGAATGGCTACAATCTATTCATTTCAAAAGAAGGAAGATATGTGTAGTCAATTAATACTCTCTTCTGTTAGATGTAAAGCCCTTAGTGTCTTAGAAAGAATTTTATTTTCAAATTCTAAATATGCATTGTTTACAGGTGTATGTTCTAAATAATCTCCAAAATGGAACACAGTTTTGAAAGTACTACCATCCTGAGAACAAGTGAGAGTCTGAGTTCCTCCCTCTGACAAAATAAATGCAAGAAAAATAAATTCAGTAACCGGAATGGTGTCATTTTCTGTACTGAAGAAAATATCTTGCAAAAGTATGATTCAATCAGTCTAAAACAGTTCAAGAGGAAGTATTTAAATGAGGGAGCGGGATACAGCTGGGACACAGAGTTAACAAAATGTAACTAAAAAGAAAAAAATAATAAAAAAAATAAATTACATTGCTTCATTTCAACTGAGATAAGTAAGATATAAGCTTTGATGAGAATTTATCCAGAGATAAAATTACTCCAATTTGCTGCTAGGATAAAAATAAAAGGCACATCTCATGTTGTTTTATGAAATTATTTATTATTCATTTCTACTGTTCAACTATGTTTTTATGTTTATAGTAGTATATAAGTGAAAACTCTAGATATATGACCAGTTTAACCATATGGCTACATTTAAATTTTAAAGAGAATAGTATTTTATTCTGTTTTTGTAGTTCCATTATAAAAACTCCAGAGATCTTCATTTTTCTTCTTTCCACTCTTTAAGTCAAGTGTGTGAAAAAATACTATCTTAGGATGAAGCTGTTTAGACAATAAAATGCTATTACTAAAAATATCAAGGCAGCAGAAGCTCCAGTGAATTCAAATGGGGGGTGGGGAGGCAAACACAGGAGAATTTGTTTGCAGTTCTCACAATACATTTTTTTAAATTATTACCACTAGCATTAGAGTATAGTTTCACTAAGAAATAATACTGGTACAGCATGTTTTCTTTGGAAGCTAATCTAAACATTTTTTTAATTAAACTCAAATCTTTATATTCTCTGGAAGTGCTGTGCATGCTTTTGAAAGAGCAACTGAAATCTAGGATTTGTTACAAACTCTCACTTTTTTTTTAATTCAGATGTAAAATTTTACAACTAGATGAGTCCTGATGACCTTACTTACCTTTAATTTGTTAAAATCCTTGACTTCACTATCTGCTAAGTTGATCTTGATTCAGTGAAGCAAAGGTAGTGATGCTAACCATATTTCTTATGTCACAGTTAATAATGAAACACACTTGGCTAGGATTATACAAAGAACTCGTTATTTATTTTTTATTTAAACTTTTTCAAACACATTTATCAAATATGTTTCTTCTTAGTTATCCTTTGCTGCAGTTCCATTTCCTGGCAGGACACAGCCACAAAGACATTTTGACTGATAACAGAAAAATAATGTGATGTAGTCAGTTACATCAACTCTTTTCCCACTCTACTTTCTGTGTTCAAATGTGTCTAGGAAGCACGTTGTAATATTCTATTTCATTCCAGTCTATTCTTCTACTTTATTCTCTTTTATTTTCAACTAACCCACATCTACATGCTATTGAATATCACCATGTAAGATCTCAGATTATTTAATTAAAACCCTTTCCATTTCCTTTCATCCTATTACAGTTGACAGTAGAATGTTCTTTCAAAACAGTGGAGGTGTATATATAATTTCCACCATAAACACCACAAACAATGCCAGACTCAGCAGGCTCCATTTATATAGTTATGTATATGTATGCTTACAGCAGTAACATCCAAACAAAAAGAGGCCATAAATTTAAGAGTGACTGGAGACATGGGAGGGGTTTGAAGGAGAGTACTTGAGGGAAAACAGAGAGAGAAATAGAGGGGGGAAATTTGCCCTCTGAAAGACTCTTCCTAGCAGGATATCAAAGGATGCTGAGACTACTAGGAAAACTCTGGGCAGAGTGTAGGGAATCTTACAAAAGAAGGGACAGATGAAAGACCTGGAGGGGACAGAAGCTCCACAAGGAGAACAACAGAAACAAAAAATCTGGCACAGGGTTCTTTTCTGATACTGATACTCCAACCAAGGACCATGCATGGAGATAACCTAGAACCCCTGCACAGATGTAACCCATGGCAGCTCAGTCTCCAAGTATGTGGGGCAGGGATTGCCTCTGACATGAATTCAGTGCCTGGCTTATTGATCACCTCTCCCTGAGGTAGAAGCAGCCTTACCAGCAACAGAGGAAGATAATTCGGCCAGTCCTGATGAGACCTGATAGGCTTGGGTCAAGGGAAGGGGAGGAGGACCTCCTTTATCAGTGGACTTCAGGAAGGGCATGGGAGGAGATGAGGGAGGGAGAGTGGGATTGGGAGGGGATGAGGGAGGGGGCTTAAGCTAGGATACAGAGTGAATAAAGTGTAATTAATAAAATTTAATTAATTAAAAATATAGTTGATGGCAGAACCAGGGATCTAAAGAACTAATCTATGAAACACTGAAATAGAATATCTCTAAAGAAACTTCCAAATGGAATAGCGTATATACTGGTAAGGAACAAGCTATTGCTGAAATAAAATGGTGAATGTTTCTTCTAAAATATCATATAAACTCAGAGCATTACAGGTTATCCACGGTTGGATAACCTTGTTCAAGGCATTCAATAGAATGGATTACAAGCTTTTTGAAAACAAAGTAAGTAACCTTGTACTCATAGATTTGAATGTCTGTGAGTTAAAAGTATAATAAAATGGTTCATACATTCATAGTTTTATTGCAAGTAGAACTTATAATGCTTCAACCAAATCAAAGCATATCCCATACTCTTCTAACAGGCTTTAATTGCTTTGTCCTTTTTCAATATTTCAGATCAGTAAAGCAAGTGTGCCCTCTTGGAAAATGACCTTACTAAATGTTTGCAGCCTTATAAATAACCTGAACAGCCCAGCCGAGGAAGCAGGAGATATGCGTGATGAAGATCTTGTTGGAAAAAGGAAACTTCCCCTTGTTCTAGATGGTTTTAGCCTGGAAGCAATGCTGACCATATTCCAGCTCCAGAAAATCTGCCACAGCCGGGCCTTTCAACACTGGGAGGTACAGCAGAACACTAGACGGGCACGAGAATCGTGGCACTAAGTGGGCTCTTACTTGTACTTACTCCTATACTCGGATTAGATCATAGTAGGAGGACTTAAAAAATACTTGAAAGTGTTAAACCATCCTTTCAACTCAATAACCGTTCTTAAAAGTACCCTCCAAATATGTGGAGAGTAACAAACTTTTCACTCTTAAAAGGGTGATGATATGTGTTAAGGTACATTTGAACTATGTATGTAAATGGATGATGTCCTGAGGTAGGTTTTCCTGGTAATAGTGACATGTATTAAGAAATTTAAGTAACTCCAACTGTTTCATTAAGACAAAAAAAAAATCACGTGTAGTAATCTATAACCTAACACAATACGAAAGTTTCAAAGGAAATAAATTAAAGACCAAAGGGGTTCTAGTTGCAACTCACAAATTAGCTTGTTCATAGGAATTGTTTCCAGCTTTTGTAATTGATTATTTGGCAATTAAAATATTTCTTAATTTTTAAGTATAGGTGTGCTTTGTGCGTGTGTTTGTGTGTGTGTGATAGCAATTAACTCTTAACTTCAAAAACTATTTTTCTACTGATAAAACAAGCAAAAGAGACGTAATTAAAGGAACAGCTTTACAGATGCTGCTGTTGCATATTTAGATTACTTATTTATGCATTTTGTTCTGTTTTTCTTTTTAAGACAACGTCTTAGAGTTATGTAGCCCCGACTGGCCTAAGACATACTATGTAGCCCGGAATGGCCTTGAACTTGTAGCAATCCTCCTGCTCCTGCTTCCCAAGTGGTGGTATCACCCCTGTGCACTAGCCTGTCTGGTTGACCTATCATTAAAGGGGGAAAACTGAAATTTTTGGTAATCTACTATTTGTCAAAAAGCATTCTCAACAAACACTCATTTTGTTAATAAAAAACAAACATTTTTATTGCCTTGATGCGAACTTCACTAAAAAAAAATGTATTAGGGCTTGGGAAAGAAATATCAAAAATTTGAACTGTGAGAAGAAAAATGTGGGATGCAACTGAATGTTCCTAAAAAAGAAAAATGGAATAGGGTTATACTTCTCCAAATGGAAAAACATTATTTTTCAGATCAAGCTCTGGGAGCTTTGATGGTGTTTTACATTGTGGGGTTACACCGTGCTGCAGATCTGAGGGCGCCCTCCCTGTTAATGTAACAAGCCTGTGAGTGGCTGCTGTAAAGATACCCTGTGGAAGGGGAAATGCCAGCAGAGCTGCTGGTGTTTATGTTAACTGGTAAACAGAAAGGATGCTTTCCAGATGAGAAAACAAAAAGGCTAGCTCAGATTTACTTGTTGCACTCTTTATCCTTTAATTTCAATTCCAGCTAAATGGTACAATCTTTAAAACACCATTTAGCTCAATAAAATCTGAAAATTCAAATCTTAGCAAAGGGAAATGTCAATTATCCCTTATTTATCCAGACAAGAAAGACCCTCAATAAACTAATTAGCAGATAAGTCAACTGAACATGAGACTGGAACTCTTGTTATTTTAACTGTTGAGTCATTTAAAAATGAAATGATAATATCATTCTGAGCACAGTACAAGAAATTACAGACTATACACTTTAAAGAAACTAAATATTAAAACCCCACATTGCCTGACAGTAGCTTCCTTACCTTCTCTGAAAATGAATAACTATGGGTAAAAATAAAATTCTTGGTGCTAGAGTGGCATGATGTGCATTACAGATGAAACATCACTATTTGTTATTGTGACCCAAAGTTTGGGAGAAGGAGTAATCTGAATAAATCTTAGCTATTTAAAGTTTCCACATTTGTTGATTTCTACATCTAAGAAACTTGGAAAAGGCAATCTTTTCTTTGTTTAGAAAACTGATCATTGTAATGTCTTTCAAATCATGTCAGTAATTGACTTAAATCAATATCAAATCCTGTTACCTTCTTGTTCAAATGACATATCAGATTCAAAACTATATTTATTGTGATATATTTCATATCATTTTGTACTGCCATTATATAAGCTAAGCCTTAAAACTAAGTAGAAGGTATCTGTTGTATGGTTTTTCAGTTGGAAAACGTAAATATATTTTTGAAAAGAGGTAGGCTGCTGAACTGGTAAAGGACATAAATAATCAAAATAATTATAATCTGATTCCACCTCAGTCATTGATAACCATCTGTCACATGACACAATTGTTTCTCTGATCCTACAGGTGCATTGTACTTAAAATACCAAAAAGTTATGTGAAATTTATTTCATGCGTGTAAATTTCTTTTCTGTTTTCTCTGTTTTAGATAATTCAGGAAGATATTCTTGATAATGGCAATGACAAAAACGAGAAGGAAGACGTGATAAAGAGAAAAATCCCTTATATTCTGAAAAGGCAGCTGTACGAGAGCAAACCTAGAAGGCCCTACATACTCAAGAGGGGCTCCTACTATTACTGAAAAACTACTTCTTAACATGTGATTGTGACCGATCACCCTTTATCTAGACATATAATCATATCTTTACCTAGATATATAATCATATATGTATAAATGTGTGAGAACTTAATTATTTCATCTATTCCACAATTGTGGCTTATTGGATGTGATTCTTCTGCATTCATGTAAATTTGACTGTTTTCAAATAAATGTATATCCTGGGCATGTTGTGTTCTGAATAATTGAAATAAATAAAATCATATAACATATAGATTGTTTTGTATTTTTGCAAGAAATATTATAGGTTGTATGAACAGTCACAACATTTGGCATTACAGCAAAGTAATAAAAAAAAGAAATGAGCATACATCGTTAACCTAAAGCAGAACCATTGCACCATTTTGTTTATTTGATTGTTTTATTATTAATTGAAAGAAATATACACTGTTTTTCAAAAACCACTCATTCATCATCTCAATACAAAGGAGAATTGCTGTCCTATAAAAACCCAACTGAAAGAATTATTAATGAAACATTGTTATTTATGCTTATCTCAGTGTATCTTTAAGTGACTATTTTGCCTGTCAAATGAAATAAAAATCAACAAGCTAATAAAAATCAACAAGGCATCAGAATCCAATGCTTTATTGCAATTTTTATTTTATTTTATGATAATTCTTCTTAATTTCCCTTCTCTTTTTTTATGCTTTTAAGCTAGAATATTATATATAGTTATCAAAGTCATTTTGGTATTTTGTGATTATTATGTTTTGTTTTGTTTTTTTTCTCATTGGGAAGGCATACTTAAGCTCAAAGCTGTAATCGAATAATTCTGCTTAACTTTCCTTTAAAATCACGGTTATGGCCTGATCAGCCTTTGTATTTCTGTCTTATTTGTGAATTTCTAAATTACGTCCCTTTTTGGTTCCAGGAAGACATTGTTTTACAGGACTGAAAGTCTATTCCATTGTTACCCAAAAAAGTTGAATTCAGAGCCCATTCTAAAGTAAGCTATTAAAGACAAGAAAATCATGAAATTTGTAGGCAAATGGGTAGAAGATTAATAGTAACGTTAGTAGTATCAGGGATTTGATACTCTCCCATGGGATCAGGTAGTGCCAGTTAACCCAAACCCAAAAAGACATGCATGGTCTGAACTCAATCAGCAGTGGACACCAGCCATAAAGTATGGTATAACCATGCTGCAGTTCATAGACCCAAAGAAGCTGAGCTTCAAGGAGGGCCCACGGGAGGGTACTTGAATATCATTCTGAAGAGGAAAAAATAGGCATTGGAGGTAGATGGAGAAAGGGAGGATAGGGAGGAAATCAGGGGTGGGGATTAGGAGTAGGGATAGTAGGGAGGAGAGCTGGATGAGAAAATGGAAATCAGAGGTGGGGAGCATCTCTGGGATTTTCCAGAGACCTGGCTTAGGGGAGGCCCCAGGAAGTCTATGCATGTCACCATAGCTGAGACTCTAAGTTGTGGGGGACACTGAGGCTGACTTGGCCCATTTCCTGTAGCCAAGCAGGACTTCCGGTGGAGAGATAAAGAAAATTCCCCACCCATATAACCTTCCTTCCCAAATCTGTCCTGCCTGTAAGAGATGCAGAGAAGAGGTGGAGCACTTCATCCTTATCACAAGTTTTCAGAGTCTGGTTCAATAGCTTTCTCTCTGAGCTGTTATATTTTTGGAGTGTGTGTGTGTGTGTGTGTGTGTGTGTGTGTGTGTGTGTGTGTGTG